AGGTTTGTTGAACGTCTCTAGTTTGTTTTGGAAACAGCTGTCGCTGACATTTACTAAACTACACGGTGTAAAAGAGGGAAAACATCTGGCCCTCAGTTTCTAGAAACTGTAACTCCAGCGTGTTCGATATTTACTTTTTCAGAGAGAGAACGTTTGTGAGAACGTTTCGATGTTTAAGCTCTACGTGTGTGTGAAAGATGAGAATTCGTTTTTTCTTATTTACCACAACTTCTCGCTGTGGTGATCACATCTGTCACACCTTCAAGTAAACATGTCGCGGAAACAAAAACAAAAACAAAAAAACAAAGACAGCAGTTAAAGAGAGAAAGTTTTGGCGGCACAGTGTTGCAGTGGTTGGCTCTGTCGCCTCACAGCAAACAAGGTTCTGGGTTGGAAACCGGGAACCTTTCTGTGTGGAGATTCTCCTCTGCGAATTCTGGATTACCTGCTGGTGTGAGTATGAGGGTGAATGGTCAAAGGTCAGGTGGCTGGTCGTGTCGGAGGTTAGTTAGACGTTGAAGACGTGAACAAAATAACAATCGTTTCTTTAAATGTTGGTTCCAGTTGGAGTTGAAGCGCTGACGGGGGTTTGAAGCGTAAACAACATGTTGTACGACCACGTCTTTGTTCTGAGAGACAGGAAGTGATTAATCCTACAAATAATTACACAAGTGATTTGCATTCATCAAATTCAACATAATAATGACTTAGTGTCTCATACTGTAAATGCAACATCTGGAAACAGGTGTTCTGTGACCTGATTAGGAATTTGACCTACGTGCTTTAGTTCGATAGCTGTGAGATCTGGATCTCATAATCATACGATCGTTTCTTGCACTTATCAGATATGACTTCTGTAGACGATGGCGCTTTATTTAACCCCACCCCACCCGCCTCGAAAAGGTGCGTTTGTTTTGTGTGCAAGACAAAGCGACAGAATGAAAGTTGTAGAGAGAAGTTTAAGACCCCTCCTTCTCTCCTGCCTCTGCACAGCTGGCCAGATGCTGTGTGAAGTGTGTGATTGTTAGATTGGAAAGTTACGGAAAATTGTTGTTGACCCCCACCACCCCACCACCCACCCCCCACCCAGTTCTGATGTAGCTTTCAGACGCTGATAAGCACAGTGTTTGAATCACGCTTTAAAGTGAAAGTCCATCTCCGTCCATTCATTTTGCCACAGCTTATCTTATCACACCTCTCCCCCGAAACAACTTCTGAATCATCCTGTGGGGAATCCCTGGGGCGTTCCCGAGCCGGAGGAGATATGTCATCTCTCTCCAGTGTGTTCTGGGTCAACCCCAGGATCTCTTACCAAAGTAAAAGCGTCAAAATCAACTGCTATCAGCTGAAGATTATTATAGAAAAAGTTAAAAAAAAGTTAGTTTCAGTTAAGAAGTATAAATACTCATTAAATTAACTTTTAAAAAACTTTCAAATAACAGGGTCCAAACATTTAGAGAATGGCAAGATAGATATTAATAAAATCATATATAAACATATAAATACTTGTTTTAATAACCTTGCATATATAAATAAATATATATTAACATGTTGTATATGCCAACAATATGTTATACAATATACAAATTGGTCATATTTTTAATATATGTTCATATATGCGTAATTTTACTGTGGGTATTTCATGTGTTATAAACCTATAAAGGGGCATAAATGTCATAGATTAGATTTCTGTTTGGGCGTTAATGTCACACTGAATCAAAGATGTTTGTAGAAAAAGTCAAAACAAACCTTTTTTAGCAACATTTCAGTGAAGAACTATTAATCCTCATCAAATAAACATCTTTTTTTCCACAGTTTAACGAACTGACCGGCCGTTATTTCAAGTACCTCTCCTAATATAAACTGTTGCTGTAAAAAAAAATCCCACTCAACATGTTGGTTGGTGTTTTTCCCTGTTAACTGTTAACTGAAGATTTTAGAAAAGTAAAAAACACACAAACAGGAGCTCGATAAACATGGTAAACCGAGGACACATCCTCAAACACTAGTGCTCTCTCCTGGCTCTTTACCATGGAAACACACCCACTCATCTTCATCACCAGCAAAACCAAACAAAACAATACAACACAAAAAAAAAAAAAATGTTCCAACAAAAACACTTCACAGTTCCAAAGAAGCTCGAATCCAGAAGTTCCTTTCAGTCTCAGCGGTGGCGTGCTTCACAGTACACAGACTGCATTTCACTTTCACTTCAGCTTGATGCTAATCAATGCTGCAGGGAACGTCAGTTCTCACAGCGTGTTGGAGTCATTCTGTAACTGTGACTCATTTGGCAACGTTTCAGTGGCTCCTGCAAGTGTCTGAGCTTGTGGATGCTTTTTTTTTTTTTCCAAGTTACTAACAGGAAGAAAAAAATAAAACATGCAGGACACTGAAGGTTAGCATCAGCATCCTCCTTGAATTTCTTTAAAAGGAGTGGAAAGGACAAACAGGAGTCAGAAGCAAATGAAAAGCAAAGCAGGAATTATATAACTCTGCTGCATTATGGGAAACAGGAAGCAGCACTTGGCTTCTCAGCCTGGCTCCGCTCCACCTGGCATATATATATATATATATATATATACACATATGTGTATGTCAGTGTGTGTGTGCTATCAGTCATATTAACTAGACACAAATTTCTTTCGTGTTGCGGTAACGTTGTGAGGAATCACCTCAAACAGCCGGTCCCCACAACATCAGCCATTGTTGTTAAAAGCTTTGGTCACAGTCACACTGTTGAGGGTCGAGGGCCGAGTCAGGTCGACTTTAGTCAAGGCATAACAAAGTGAAAATGAATTTCTGTTTGCAAGGCTTGTTAGTTTCAGTGCACAAGTCTAATATTTGCACGTACAGTATGTATATTTTTATTTTTATTTTTAAAGTCTCATAAAAGCCAAGACCAAGTCTAAAGTCCTCGTCTTTGTGATTTAAGTTTAGAGACACATGAGGCCTGATTTCAGGGTCAAATCTGGTCCAGTCATCCGTCTATCATGGACATATAATGGGTTTAATATCATGTTTATTGTTGCATCATTCCACTTTTAGTTTTTCTGACCGTTACCCAAGTATATATATTATCTTTTAAAACGAGCAGACTGATTTAAATGTTCTGCCTCATTTAGTGCCCTCTGCTCCCAAATATAGTTCACTATCTGTGTGAAAGCTCTCACTGCACTTTACTGTAAACAAGGTCATGTGATGAGGGGAGCTGAAAAAAAAAATCTTCCAGTAATTGGAAGTGCAGAAAACAGTGTGAAAGTTTAATATTCAAAATAAACAGATTCACTAACATATTTCATTCTGACGCATGAAAACCAAAACCTACTGGCCCTGTTAATACTGCTCTGGTTGTTTTTTGGGGGGGGAAACCCTAACGTGAGCTATTTTAAATTCGGCTAATGCTTTTGCATCTTTTTCATCTTTTGTCTAGCTAGTCATTTTTACAAGTATTTCCATCAATATTAGTATTAGTTTCATATCAGTCATGGTTGCAGTTCTTTTTTCCCTCATTTGTCCCTCACACAAATGTAATATAGTACATATAAAAATAGAAACATATTCAAAAAGTGTATATAAAATTGGAATAATTTCATATATTGACATGTAGATCTAGCCCATACAAATATGTGTGTTTATATACGTGTATATGTCATGTCTTATTTTGCGGTATGAGGTGAATCTGACATTTTCAGCTCTGATCTAATTCGTGGCAGCGTGACCTGAACAGTGACTTTGAATGAATGCACCGTTTACTGCTCACAGAGGAAGTTACAAGTAACCTGACGACCTCCGATGCCCGAAAGTCTGGATGAAACTTCTGTTTCTCTTCCCACCACCGACCTCGCAGAAATATCCACAAATAGACACATTTAAAAGTTTATTTTTCAGCTGTTGTTTGGCTCATTAACACTGAGACGACACAGTTCAATATGGCATCGAATAGTGTTTTTGATTTTGATGTTTGCTCGTGCAGATACCTGCCAGACATGATGTCTTTTCCTACTTTTCTTTTGCATGTGGATTAAATTTAGCATTAAAAGTCCCATATTTTAGACTTTTCCTGTGTTTTATTTGTAATATATATACAATATAATGTTATTATATATAAGTGTTGATCCATAAGAAGATATATTTGTGGTTTTAAGTCGTAAACCATCTCAGTGTAGTTTTACATCTCCTCTCTCAGGCTTCTCTCTGGAGCTCTAGTAACAACAGGTCGGTGAGCCAATCAGAAGAGAGGAGGCTCTGAGCCTCTCTTCTGATTGGCTCACTGTTTTCTGAGTGATCCAGTAAAAATATAGCAGATTTCAGGTAAAAACACTCAGAGAAACCAAATCCTGCAAGGTTTGGATGGTGGGTCCAGGTGGGCGGGGCTTGGTGACTGCTTTGTTGTGACATCACAAAGTTCCAGAAGTCCTGACGGCTGGTTTTAAGGCTCAGTTTCTGAATACAGGCTGTGTGCATTTCTCTGTGGACTGAGGCTTTGATACTTTCACAGTATTAATATAGAAGCTAGAGCTGATCTATAATCACACTACACATGGACACAGACCTTTACACTGGAGGAGCTTTAATGTTTTCAGTGTGAATGAAGCCATTGAGGCTTCAGATGCTTTTCCAGGGAAAAAAAAAAAACACTGAATAATTTTTTTCTGAGTTGCATAAAAATGAACATTCAGTGTTAAAATATTGCACATATGCAGTTTTAATTTAAGATGCATCAGTAGAAACGCTGTGTGTGTGTGTGTGTGTGTGTGTGTGTGTGTGTGTGTTTGTGTTCTCAAGTACACGCATGCACTGAGCTCACGCATGCTGTTCTCTGGTGACCACACTTAACACTGCTCTGTAGTGGTTACACATTTAATAATTCAACATGACACAAAGATGTGCTCACGTTCCACGCTGCGATTGTCTGCGTGTTTTCAGTCTCTGCTCTGTGTTTTGTTTTTTTGTTTTTTTTTTTGTTTTTTTGTTATTTTTTTTTTGTCTCTTTGCAGCCATCAAGGAGAAATACAGCGACTGGACAGAGTTCCTCGTTCAGGACCTGACTGGCTCCAGGACGGCGCCGGCCAACCTGCTGGAGGGGGTGAGTGAGAATATCTGACGGGGGAAGACGGGCGTCGGTTTATGACGGAACCGAGATTCATATTTTGCGACAATTCCCCAAATTTTAATTGCCTGATGTTATGGTAGTAAAAGACTGAGATGATGAGATGATCTGGAGTCTCTCTCTCTCTCTCTCAGCCTCTCCGAGGTAAGAACACAGTAGACCTGATCGTCGAGGGCTCCGTCTTGGAGCTTCAGGACGTCTCCGACCCTTTCCTGTACTGGCCTGTCCGAGTCATCCAGAACGTCGGAGGGAGGCTTCGCCTGCGCTACGCCGGCCTCTCTGAAGACCTCCAGGCTCAGGACACCTGGCTGTTCTACCTGGACGTCAGGCTCCGGCCCCTCGGCTGGGCCCCGGAGAACCGTCTCACCTTGGAACCGCCCACAGGTGATCGTCTAATCTGCTCACACCTTTTCATTTACATCAGCCTCAAACCGCCGTGGTGACAAGGGGGAACTTTGATTTTTACCCAAAACCTAATTACAGAGTGTATGAGAAAGTTAATGATACTTAATGAGTCTTTTGTTTTTTTTTTGATTATTTATGTTGGCCCAGACTTCCAACAGGAGTCGGATCTTATTAACACCAGCTTTAAATAAGGACTATTAATCTGTTTATTATTTCATGATTAATCTCTTAATAGTTTCGTCCATGAAACGTCAGAAAATTGTGAAGAATCCCAATTTCTTCAGATTACTAGATTTATAATAGATTTATTTTCTATCATGGACGACTAAGAAAACTGCCAAATATTTACACATGGAAATCAGAACCAGTGGATCTTTCCACACTTTTGCTCCAAACATTAACTTAAATGATGAATCACTTTGCAGAATTTGTCCGAATTCATTTCAGCTAATGGATAAAACTGATAAATTTCAGCTGTAGAGTAAATTTAACAAAATTTGTGCTTAAAAAAAATTGTCTTTTGGAGAAATTCATACAAAAAAAGATGCATAAAATGCGAGTTAAAGAATTTAAAGGTGCAACTAATAAAAACATGGTCTATAGAGTTTGAATGTTTACAAGCAGATGCAGAAAAAACACATTAAATAAACTTGGTAATTTAAAGGAAAAGTTTCTTAGAAGCTGCTGAGTATCAGAAGGAGAATTGCGATCTAGCTCATCAACCTCTCCTCTCCTCTCGTCTCTTTAACCCTCAGAGCTCCGGTCCGTGAAGAGCGCCGCCGACTGGCAGCAGGCTCTGGAGGACGCTCGGCTGGACGCACAGAAGAGCCCGCTGCCGCTCGAGGTGTTCAAGGTGAGTGAACGTCCCGTCACAGAAACGGCGTGCGGCGCTCGGCCGGCCTGCAGGACTGTGTCACTCACTACTGCCTCTGTTGCCGGTGATTGATTTATGATGTGAAAAGTGGATAATAAACGGTGAGGCTTTATTTAACAAGTCGGTAATTGAAGGTTTCCTTTCGAAGAACTTTGTAGTAAATTACTTCGCACTTCACACATACTTCACTTTCTGGAAAACGCCCCAATGAAAGAACTTCTCCATCTGAACCAAGAGTCTGTTGTTCCTTTTGTCCTTTTTAATTCATTATGGGAAGTTTCATTCTAAAAATAAGGTGAATAGTACGTTTACCTTTAAGATTTTATCATTATTACATTTTATACGGAAACTTCCAAAGAAATGGAAATTACAGGCGCAAAAAACAAAGATTTCTATATAAATGAATTAGTGTTTAAAACATACTGATTTCATATAAGCAGCATCAGCCAGTAGCAATGCAAGATTAAAATACACAGGAGCTCATTCTGACATGCAGACCTTGTGTGTTAGCAGCGAGACCTGCTGCATTAAAGCAAACACTCCTGAACTTTGAGCTGTGCACAAGACAAATCTAGCTTGTGCAAGAGAGATGAATGAGTAACATGGTGAAACAAAAAGCTTCATAAGAACGAAAACAAATGATAAAACTCAGTCCTACCACAAGAAAAAAAAAATTAATCTCAAAGGCATAAAAAAAAAGAAAAGAAAAAAGAAGTAGTTGTGTAAGTTTCTATTTTCATTAAGACACTGTTTCCCTATGAATCATCACCTTAATTCTGAGGAAGAAAATCATTATTTATCTCCCTCACAGTTGTGCACACTCACTGTCTGAGACCGGAGGCCTTTCCTGAAACAAAACAAAAGTCTGCGTCATACGGGAAGTGTGGTGTTTACGTTTTGCAGCTGGTTTAAAAATGATTAGAAAAAGAATCAGGTAATTGGCGGGAGGAGACGCAGACGGCAGAAACTCTGTCAACACCTAATGAAAGGAAAAAGACATCGCAGCACAATGAAACACAAAATCTAAATCATAGATTATCGATTTATCAATTAAAAAATAAAGGAAGGAATTATTAACATTTAGTTTGGCGTCGCTTCATCTGCCTTTTCTTTAACCATTAAACGGGGGAATAACACTTTGCCTCAGCGAGTGCTTCTTTCATTACAGGCCCACCCAGCAGCGTATGCGTGACCTACATTATCTTGCATGTGCATGTGTGTGTGTGTGTGTGTGTGTGTGTGTGTGTGTGTGAGAGTGAGAGAGAGAGAGAATTATCAGAAGTGGAGCACATTCATCTGAAAGTTTTGACTTTACTGTGTCAGGACCACGTAGACCTGCCCAAGCACTCCTTCAAGATGGGGATGAAGCTGGAGATGGTTTCTCCGTGGGAGCAGCTCAAGATCTGCCCCGTTTCTGTCACCAAGGTGAATCACACAGAACAATATCTAAAACTAGAATGGCAATCAGCGGAGCACATACCTCCCCCGAGGCAGAAAATGCCCTTTCTCGTAAGTGGTAATTCCTGGATCCGCCTCTTTAACCAGATTTGCACCAGAATGTGGCGGCTTCTTCTCTGGCTTCTTCTTCTTCTTGCACAATCCTGCTGATAAATAAACAAACAAACAAACAGACAGACAGACACGGGTGAAAACATAATGTCCTCGGGGGAGGCACGAATACCAAGCGGACTCCTCCCTCCTGCATTCCTCAGCTGCCTTTATTAATGCAGCAGCACATTTTGGCCTCGCTCTTCTCATCGTCGTGTCATCATCACTCTGTAAATGATAATTGAGCAGTTTACTTTTGATTAATAAAAGTATTCCTATGCTGTATTCGTAATGAACACAAATATAAAGTTTGGTGATTTATTTTGGGATATTTGAACCATCACAAATCAGGGATTGTACATTTACACGTGCTAATTATATGAAAAAATACTGTTAAATAAAACACATTTGAATTTAACACAAAAATATGTGAAAAAGAAGTTTTTGAAACTGTACAACTGGCTTTAAAAATTGTAATTTGTTAAGTTTTTGTTTATTATTATCATTTTATATTTTTATGGCCCTTGTTTGCTTCAGTGCATATTTAGTATTGCACTTCAGCAGCAGAGTCATCAGAGACATCCTGACTTTTAGACCAGAGTCGAGCTCCATTTCCCATGATGCACCTTGAAAACATCTTCCTCTACACCTGTAACCTCCGAGCTCGAGCAGGTGCCTCTTTAAGAAGATGAAGGAGAATAAGGAAGAAGCAGATTCACACCTTTATGTTTCTGTGGACGTTGATTTAAAAATGTCTAAAAAGTCTTTTTCCCTCTTCAGGTCTACAACGAGATCTACTTCCAGGTCACGCTGGACGACCTCTCCGTCGATGCCAAGCCACGGTTTGTGGTGTGTCACGCCAACTCGCCGGGCATCCTGCCCGTCCAGTGGTGCCTGAAGAACGGCGTGGGCCTGGAGAGGCCCCGAGGATACGAGGGCCAGGACTTCGACTGGGCCGACTACCTGAAGCAGAGCGGGACCGAAGCAGCTCCTGACGCCTGCTTCCCCGACGTAAGAGCGGCGTGACCGGACTTTACGCTCTTACCGTTTTGTTTCAGTGTCCTGGTCATTTAGAAAAAGCCCACACGGATGATGGTGATCATATTTTCGTAGAACGTCTCCATTGTGGTAAAAGTCTGTGAAAACGGCAACGACAGAAACAAGTCTGATAAGGTCTGATGTTGCCAATAGAGCAAAGCAAACAGCTTCTCATCACACAACCTTAATCTCCCTCAACACTGACACTGTACGGTCCGACACAGATGGTGACCAAGATTTCGTGGTCGGGCCTCCTCTGGCGCAGCGCAACACGCAGTGAACCGGCAGCTTGTATTAAAGCCTTCAAGGCGAAAATCAGGGTTAAATCAGTTTGAATATCTTGTAATCTGACTCCAGTTTTAGGTTACGCCTGGTTAGATCACTGTCCTGGACGTGGAGTAAACTCTACCTCTGTCTCTCCTGTGTGTGTGTGTGTGTGTGTGTGTGTGTGTGTGTGTGTGTGTGTGTGTGTGTGTGTGTGTGTGTGTGTGTTCAGGCATGGCAGAGCAGAGGCTTTGCCAAGGACATGTGGCTGGAGGCGGTGAACCCTCACCGGCCGGTGGAGGTGTGTGTGGCTCAGATCACACAGGTCAGAGGACGCCTGCTGTGGCTCCGACTGGAAGGTACAGACGTCTGTGTGTGTGTGTGTGTGTGTGTGTGTGGCTGAGTGTGTAAGAAGGATTAAGTGTCAAAGGACTCCTGCTGTGTGTCTCAGAGTGAAGGTAAAAAGCAGTGTGCGTATGTGTGTGGGTGTGTGTTTGTGTGTGACAGCTCCCTCACCCGTCCTCTCTCTCTCTCTCTCTCTCTCTCTCTCTGCTGTCCACCTGTCTCCAGGTGTGGCAAAGCCCCTGTCAGAGTGTATCGTGGACGTCGACTCCATGGACATCTTCCCTGTTGGCTGGTGCGAGGCCAACGCTTACCCTCTGACCCCTCCGCTCAAACCTGTCTGTATGTTCACACACACACACACATACACAGACACACACACACACAAACACACACACTGTATATTTCCCAGCGAGCGACGGCCTCGATACAAACTCCGTCTGACTTTAATTGTCTCGTCCACAGGCCAGAAGCAGAAGAAGATCGCGGTGGTGCAGCCAGAGAAACAGTAAGAAAAACAAACGTTTATTTCCCCAAAGTTGCTGCAGGTGCAGAAAGACTGATGTGGGTTTTTGGAGGTAGACAGGAGTCTGTTACTGGACTGTCTCAAAGGCTGAAATGCAGCGATTCAGAGGTTTGTTTTCTTTGTATCTACAGATGAAGCTACAACTGTGTGAGATAGTACAACATAGAAAGTGATTAAGTTCTGTGCACCATCGGTTCAGATTATCCACTAAAACCCAGGATAATAATCATTAAGTCTACACAGTTTCTATACCATGAGATATAATATAGTTTTATCTCCATTTATATCATGACTTTAATCATATGTTTCAATTTTAATGTAATGCAACAAATAATAAGTTACTACATTAATGGGAAAACAAGTCAAATATCGCCTTGATATTCACGAGCGATCGTCGATATCATCGTCCATCGCCACAACCCGAGCGGACAGTTAACGTTGAGCACTATGGAGTAAATAAAGACACAGTTTAATAAAAGATGAATAAAAGACTAATGAATGAAAAGAATCAGTAGCTTCCTCTGGTTGAGCTCTGAGCACCTTGTATGATCACAGAGTCTGAGTTCATCAAAACACTTAAACTGACGTTTTGTGATAATTCCTCCGTCTTTGTGTTTTTACTCAACACTGGTAAAATTGACTGTTCCCGTATTGAACGACAGTTAATCACGAGGCTGGAAAATAGTTTCATTCACGCCTCTTTGTTTTCTGTCTTTTTTTTTTTTTTTTAAACCTGAGTGAAGGTTTTTCCTCAGAAACTCCTCTCGCCGTCTCTCGCCGTCTCTCGCCGTCTCTCGCCGTCTCTCGCCGTCTCTCCCTCTCTGTCGCTCCGGAGCCATTAATTGAAACAGTGGCTCTTTAAAGTAGAAATTGCTTTCCCCGGGGCGCTGATTGATTTTGTTGACAAATGACATGTTACACCGCCGGCCGCAGGAAATGGCGGGTCCCCGAGAGCGGGAGAAATATGTGGTCTTCACCGGCACTTTGTCAGCTCTCTCGTCTAACCTCTGATTCCATTTCTCACCTTCAGGGGAATCTGTTCATCAATACCCCCCCCCCTCCCCCTCTGCCATCACTTCGTCCCCCCACCTGCCTCTAAATCCTACACTAACTGTAGCAGCCGCCGTGTCGATTGATCAGCTGACCGAGCGATCACTCTGTCCCTCTGTTATTTCCTGTTTGGTTACATCAGTTGGATAATTTCATTGATTACTTTGACCGGATTGATCGCCTTTCTCCCGCAGGTCGGCGCCGTCCCAGCCGCTGGAGATGACTCCCGTCAACCACTGCCAGCCTGTCGCCATGGATCCAGGTAATCAAAAGCCACGCCGCACATGATTTATCTCCAGTAATTAACGCTAATGAGCTGCTGTGATTGGGAGCGGGAAACCCCCGCTCTTCAGACGCTCTTAAACATCCTCGGGGTTTGTGCTGCTCGGTCTTTAGTTTGTGTTTTAACTTCAAAATCCTTTTTGGGCTGCGTTATTGACGAGATTTACAAAAGCTATTTTACTGTTGAAGCCCCTTAATCAATGAGACAATGACTGAGAGAGAGAGAGAGAGAGAGAGAGAGAGAGAGAGAGAGAGAGAGAGAGAGGTTGTCCCCTACGTTCACTCTTCATAGATAGATAGATAAAAGTTTCATTGTTGTGTTAAATAAAACATGTAAAGTGCAAAACTAAACATTAAACATACATGTTATATTATAAATACAATATATATAAATAATTTAAACTAAACTAAAATCCCAAACCCACTAATGAAGCATTAAAGAGGCCGGAGACGTTCTTGTTTTAACATGTGTGGGATTGAGGCATTAACAGGGAGTGGTGAAAAGAAACTGCTTGGCAAGTTAATCAGTGGTAATTAAAATGTAATTGAATTAAATCAATAAATTAATAAATAAATCATCACACGGGGGGGGGGGGGTAATTTCATAGACTGATCCTCTATATCACAGTTCAGTTTTTCATTAAATTAATTTAGTTCCTTTGTGCAAAGCTGATGATAATTAGGTGATAAAGTTACAGCGACGTGCTCCTTGTGTATTCTGTGTATTTCAGCTGTTGTAATCTCACATCAGTCTGACTGCATTCACTCCAGACTTCTGCCATGTTGTTTCCACGTTAAAAAAAAAAAAAAAAGTGACTTATTCAGACTCGACCCAAAAGAGAAACAACCGTTGTTTACATGCAGGACGATGAAAGTCAAACCGACAGCGAAGTAATTCATCTCGTTCAAAGAAAAGGAGTGTTTGTGCATTCCTGATTCAGTTCAAAAGATTATTGAAGACGCTACAACAAGATGCAACTTGTGGCTGTATTTTGCACTGTGGCCAGTTGAGTCTCATTTCCTCTTCACTGGGACAGTTAGACGTTTGTTTTTCTTCTTCTGCAGCTTCAGCACATTCAGTTTGATATAAAAATAACAGAACAGAACTATATCTATATCTCTCACACAGTTCTTTCTGCACTGACGTAAACCTGCTCAAAACCAAAGCTGAGACATGGCACTTTATTATAGTATATACTAATTTATGTCAAATTAAACGTGTTGCAACACAGAGCCTGAAGAGGATTAAATGTGTAACTGTCCAACTACTTGGCACAACTGAAGAACATTTCCCCGTGTGCTTATTGAAATCCTCATTTGTCACTAATACATTAGAGAACAGAAACATTTCTCTGCCAGGAAATGTTATTGTAGCTGTAGTGAAACTACTATGTCTGTATTTGGCTTCCTATCAGCTGGAACAAGAAAAATACACCCACATAAAGATAAATAAGGAAAAAATAGAGAGGCACGGATGCAGCATCTCTTTTTTCCAACCATGTTAAAGTGTATTAAAAGTCCATATTTTACACATTTCCTGTTTTTATTTGAAGTTTTAAGAAGATATCATAAATTTATATATATATCTAATAGATAGATACTGTATATATATTTGTGGTTTTAAGAACCAAAAACCATCTCAGTGTAGTTTCACATCTCCTCTCTCAGGCTTCTCTCTGCAGCTCTAGTAACAACAGGTCGGTGAGCCAATCAGAAGAGAGGAGGCTCTGAGCCTCTCTTCTGATTGGCTGACTGTTTTCTGATCCAATAAAAATATAGCAGATTTCAGGTAAAAACACTCAGAGAAACCAAATCCTGTAAAGGTTTGGATGGTGGGTCCAGGTGGGCGGGGCTTGGTGACTGCTTTGTTGTGACATCACAAAGTTCCAGAAGTCCTGACGGCTGGTTTTAAGGCTCAGTTTCTGAATACAGGCTGTGTGCATTTCTCTGTGGACTGAGGCTTTGATACTTTCACAGTATTAATATAGAAGCTAGAGCTGATCTATAATCACACTACACATGGACACAGACCTTTAGACTAGGGGAGTTTTAAAATGAATCTCTCTTTAAAGAAAAAACAACTTCAGTGTTATTTTTATACTTCTATCCATCATATCTCATATTAAACTTAAATAAAAACAACAACATAGAAACAAACAACAAACCTCAAGTAAAAATGATTCATTTCCTTTAGAAGATTGGCGGTGGACACTAGGTGTATTTCTGGATGCATGTGAGCAACTGAAACCAGAAGACACAGTGTTGTGTTTGTGGTACATTTACATGTAATAAACAACATATATGTTGAAGCACAAATAGAGCAGAGGGGCTGAGCAGTGTTTCCGTGAGACCCCTGCCCTCTTTCCCAAGTTCCCTGTTTAAAAACCACCCACTCGCTCATGCATATTCATCCCCTCACCTGATTACTATTCACCCCCAGCAGTAGTGGTGCGCTTCCAGGTAGTCGGGAGGCTGCCAGCATCATTCAGTCGACCCTTGAAGTCACAGAAACGGGTTACATACTAATGATATTAACAAAAATAGAAATAAATACAATTACTTACAAAAAAACAAAAAACAAACAATAAGACATACAACTTCATAGGCTTTAAAACAGGAAATGACGGCATGAATTTAAAACCATTCTGCCAGTTCATTTAAATAAAGTTAAGCTCCACAGAAAAGAAAAGGATGAGACAAAGTGTCTTTGAGCGTCTGTCAGTCAAATCCACTGTGGCACTGGACGGGAAAGTCCCATTGTCAAGAGGCTCCGTAGCCAAGGACCTCATAGATATTCAGCATCTATTCTACTGTCAGATTCTTTCACATTCAAGTGAAATGTTTTTTTTCTTTTTTCAAAAAGAAGATTGTATTGTTAAACTTCTCGCTTTATCCAGAGAAGAAGAAAAGAAGAATTCAGTTTTTTTTTTTTTTTAATATTTCGGAGCATTTAAAGTGAGATTCTGCACCAAGGCCGCTCGACGTAAAGACGCCCAAAGCTTGATTCGCAGTCAGGGGAACAGATTAAAAAAAAGAAAAAAACATAAATTCACAAAATATACACAACACAATAAAACACACAACAGTTTAAAAAGACTATTTACATGTGCACATGTAGCCGGGTTATTGCACACAGGATGAGAATAAAGGAGTTCTTAGTCCTATTGCAGCTGAACCGGTAAAGCCTGAGGGAAGGGCTTGAACTAAAATATAATATGAGTATAACAGCTGTCTTTAAATATTCAAATAAAACACAAAATCTTTATTCCAAATAACCAGAAAGATTTGTTTCATTTTAGTCTCAGATCCCAGACTCTTTATTTCAGATGACTCGACGTGACTCACCTTTAATGATAATAAAGCAGGTGCGATGATGTGGAGGTAAGGGGGGGGGGGGAGGGTGGGTAATTAATGACCTGCTGCTGGTTAACCGTCCTGTTCACGGTCTTTCAGGCTCCGCCAACGGCCGATACTGCTGCTCCAAGATCTTTGTCAACCACCGCTGTTTCTCAGGACCCTACCTCAACAAAGGACGCATCGCGGAGCTGCCGCAGGCCGTCGGACCCGGAAAATGCACGCTGGTCCTCAAAGAGGTGTGTGTGTGTGTGCAGAGGGAGGGGGGGGAGGGCAGGGGGGGGGGGAGGGGGAGGAGACGGAGCAGCGTTAATCAAAACAGTTAGACACTTTCAAAGGCAGAGGAGGGCCGGCGGAGATTGAAAGGGGGAGGAGGTGAAATATGGAGGGCGAGACGGCGATGTCTTGTTAACCACCTGCCGTTTCTCAGCGGCGCCTTCATTTTAATGTGAGGAGCTGTCAGTCAAGTGTGTTTACACATACACACCATCACCACCGCTCAGCAAAACAACCTCTTAATTTCTCCAGAGACTGTGTTTGTGCGTGCACTCGCATTTTCTGTTTATGTGTGAGTGTGTGTGTGAGTGTGTGTGTGTGTGTGTGTGTGTGAGCGAGCTTGCAGTTTTGTAAAGACGAGCGTGATCTGTGTGTTTGTGTCCGTTCCAGTTTGTTTGTGTGCGCTCGCTCGTGATTCTTCCTGAAAGTTGTTGAGTTGAACGAGGAGTTTATTTCTTTTAATCTGAGTTGTGCTTCGTTTTTCTTTCTTTCTTTCTTTTTTTTTCGCCCTCAGCTGCTGAGCATGTTGATCAACGCCGCCTACAAGCCCGGACGAGTCCTGAAGGAGCTGCAGGAGCTGGAGGATCCGAGCTGGGACTGCCAAGAGGAGACCCTCAAAGCCAAGTGAGGAGCCCAAAGTACAAACACTGAGCACCACGACAGGCCAGAACAGATTCTTTTCCCATTCGATTTGGAGATTCACTGGATCTGGGGCAATTTTATTCAACTATGAAGCCCTAAAATTTCACCCCCTATTGGTTTTCATGCTTAATGTTTTCTAAATCATAATAAATCAGAGAAACCATCACATCTTTCCCACTGTTAAAATCATTACCAGACCTCACAGAAAAACCTGCTTTTTTATTTTGTTGTTGTCTTTTTTACTCTTCGTCCCTTCAAATCCTTTTAGCATTTAATTTTTTGATCATTTGATTTTTGTTGTTGTGTGAGGTCTGCGTTTTTCCCTCCACCACCGCGACCACCAGCTGCACGGAGCCAAATTATTCCACAGCTTCAGGCTGCACGCTTGGTGTTTTCTAATCAAAAACTGGCCCCGTTTTTCCGGCTGAAAACGAATAAGAATCGGCCGCTAACAAGTTGTAGTGAGTCACCTGCGGTGGCCTGCGGAGCAGAGTGATCACATTCATGCATGAATGTTTTGATTTCACAACAAAAAAAGAGGGCTGCTTTTAATTTTCTGGGGCATTTATGGCCCAAAGAGCCAATTTATTTCTGACTCTGGTGTCTGCGGTGTAGGAGGCTCAGTACACAACTCAATTCATCCCAACAAAACAAACATGAGAGGGAAATATATCTGTCAGTATCAGCGTGATGGGATAATTAGTTTGTTTGTCCTCTTTCCTTTTGATTACCATTTATAATATTTAGATGATTTTCAGCTGTTTTTACAAAGGAACCTGAACCAGGTTCCAAGTTCTGTTCAGTCTACTCAGATGTGATGAGGCCGGGGAGTCAACGTGTCTCATACCCACATGATAGAAACTGGAAATCTGGTGTGACCTGACGGCCGGATGGTGGAAGTGAGAGTTGGGGATATTAGATGTGGGGTTGTGTGAGGTAATTTATCTATAGTCAGTAGATTACCTGCAGTAGATTCACTTAAAAAAAAAAAAAAAAAAAGCAAATATCAATTTAAGTATTCGCTTTATTTTGAAAATTTTCACGGCTTTATCTTGCTGTCAAACAGCCCTTTACTTTGGAACTACATTTTTCCCAGCCGCTGAACTACTGTATTACTACGCCCATCAGACAGAACAGAACGTAGGAATACGGTAGTTCAAGGGTTGAAAAAAATGTAGTTTCAAAGTAAAGGGCTGTTTGACGGCAAGATAAAGCTGTGAAAATTTTCAAAATAAAGCAAACACTTTAACAGATATTAGCTTTTTTTTCAAAATATTTGACTTTCTTGCCTGAAAAATGACTAAAACCTTTTATTTTAAATAGAATACTGATTTATTTTCTGATTGAACAATTAAGCAACTAATAATTTTCTCTCCATTTCGACTCTTTTGTTTTCATCAAATCGCTCTTTTCTTTTCTTTCTCTTCTTTATTGCGCACTCACTCTTAAAACTTTGTGTTGTTAAAGGTTCAGTCACAGGATGTAATCTCTCCTCTCGTGGGAATTTATTTACAGTTTGAAGAAGTCGCTTGAGTTCAGACCGACTTCAGAAAAGCATCAGATTCGTCCTTGATCGGCGCCGACAGATCGGCTCAGCTCAGCTGACCTTAGCCGTTAGCTCTGACATTGACCCTGCGTCACTCCCCCTCTTCCTGTGTCGCCCTCATCAACGAGACCGTCAGCCACTTTCACAGCATCACTTTCACAGGCGGTCATCACTCACTCTTGAGCGCTATGATGGATTACAGATTGTTTAATTATCCATCCATTGTTCTCATAAATAACGTCCTCTCGCTCTCCTCCTTCCTTTTCTGTTTCGCTCCCAGATATAAAGGGAAAACCTATCGCTCCACCATCAGGATAGTCCGCCTCGCCGACCAGATCCCGGACTTCTGCCGCAAGGTGTGTGTGAAGCTGCAGTGCTGCCCGAACCTCTTCAGCCCCGTCCTCGTCACCGACAAGTGCCCGGAGAACTGCTCCGTTCAGACCAAAACCAAATACAGTGAGTCTCTGTAATTACACGCATCACTTCCTTCGCCACAGCTATGAAGACGCCGTAAATCAGAGGGTAATTGCCTCTGATGAATGAGAGGCTGAGTTTTGTTTCTGGGATGCATTGTTTTTAAACGTCTGCTGTCTGTGTGTGTGTGTGTGTGTGTGTGTGTGTGCGCAGTGCTTATTACTATGGGAAGAAGAGGAAGCTGTCCAAGCCGATGGGAGGAGAGGAGGCGGCGGAGGGGGAGCTGGCCAAGCCGACGCGCCGCAGGAAGAAGAGGAAAGCTATCTTTGTGCAGAAGAAGAGACGCTCATCCGCCGTGGACTACACTCCTGCTGGCTCACCGCAGGTTAGATAACACGTCTCGTCTTCTTTCCTCTCTCGGATTGTGTCAGCGGGCGTCACATTACAGTGTGTAAATATAAACAAACTCACCCATAAATACGACACAGGCAGGAGGACGAGGAGCGGCGCAGGCAGGAAGTTCAGTTTCAATATGTGCTCGGGTTTTTTTGTGTGATGTTGTACAAAGAAAAAGTTCGAACTCAACAAATCTGAGATGAATCAGGAGCTGAGCTGCACCTGATTGTATTGATCTTGGGTCTCTAAAATAATGTCGAGGTGAAATGATTAGTCCCTTAATTGATTAGCTGATTAACAAAAAAGTATTAATTAAACATTTGAGTCATTTTTAGCTCAAAAATGCTAGAAAATGTTTTTCTTTGTTTTATATTATTGCAAACTGAATCTTTGTGTTTTGGATAAAAACGAAACATCTGTAGTTGTCGCTTTAATTTGAAAGACCAAGGAACTAATCAATCAATCAAGAAAAGGTGGATTTAACTGAACGAATCCTACATCACATGTATTAAAGTTTTCAGTTTTCATCCGTTTTTAACAACGAGAGTTATCAATCATAAACTTCATATTTAAGAACTTAACAACTTAAATATTAACATTCAAAGAATCAAAACAAGTTTTCCCTGTTTGTATTTACTTTCCACTAAATGACTAAAGTGTTTTTGTACATTTTTAATGACGAGCAGTTTGTTGAATGTGAGAATCCGACCAGACTGGAACCAGAACTCTTTTAGATCCTCGAGTCAGCGGAAACTTGAAAATCTGAAGACAACATGAGTCATGATTAACGTCACTGACGGGGAACTTCAGACTCCAGACCTGTGTGTGTGTGTGTATGTGTGTGTGTGTGTGTGTGTGTGTGTGTCCAGCTCAAATGTCTCCTCCTGTGTGACATCAGAGGAAGTGGTCAGGTTTGACCGTCAGCGTGACCGCTAACAAACATCATATAAAAAGATTTAGAAATACATTGTTCATGGGACGAGAAACTGATTAATGTAGAAACAAATGGACAAAAAAAAACAGAAGAAGACGCTCACACTCACTTCCTGTTCAGATTCAAGCGAACTTCTTATTATTCAGACACAAAGTTCAGTGTCAGCAGAGACAGGTTGGCTGCATGTTGTCACGATAATATTGAAATATGTGCAGCTCTTATTGTGAAAGTGGTTCATAATGGAACAACAATAGAAATGAGATTATGGCATTTCCATATATGACGATAAGCATCAGCTAGTTTATAGACAGTGTACAGAGAATATGTCACAAAACACTAACGGTTTGAAAGTCTCTGAGAATTCATGAAAATCTATTTTGATTGTTTGTTGAATGAATAAAAATATAGTTAACGAGTGTAATTAGTTAAGTTATTTTAACAGCTCCTAATCTCTGAATCTAAACGTTTAATTAAAACTTTTAAAACGAGCTGAAGTGGCTCCTGACACAGTTATGAAGAAGTGAGCGGAGTCTGAGGTTGTGGCCTCACCTCTCTGACTCTGAGCCGTCTGACTTCCCTCAGGACAGCGACGAGGGAGAGGAGGACGAGGCGCTGCAGTCGGGCAGTGAGGGCAACAGCTCGGAGCCCCGCGACGACCACACCGACGCCTCCTCGGTGGAGGTGACCAGCAGCCGCCCTCGCCGGGCCGCGACGCTGCGCAGGGCCGTCAGCATGGTAAACGCCACGGGGTCCAGCCAGGAGGCCTCCGAGGGTCGCCGGAGGTCGACCCGCTCGCTGTCGGCCTACAACCAGAGCGACAGCAAGTACCAGCCGCCCAAAGGACAAGACGTGCAGGTGAGACAGGAGGAGTGAGACGCAGGTTCTAAACACTTACAGCAGACGTTAACCTGATCCCAAAGTGAAGGATAAAATCTGTGACTAATTATCGTTTACTGGTTGAACATTAGAGTCCATGACACACAACAACATATTCATCTGGTGGCGATTCTGTGATGATCAATAGGTTAATCACTATGATTAACTGTACATCAGTCGACAGGCAGCAGCATTATGTGCAAAGAACAGCTGCACAGGTGTTGGCATGTTATTGTGTAAGTAAGTGTGTCTTTAATATGTGTGTGTGTGTGTGTGTGTGTGTGTCAGGTGGAGGAGGAGGAGGGGCAGCTGGTTTTGGACAGAAACCCTCTCGAGTGGACGGTAGACGAAGTGGTTCAGTTCATCAACTCGACTGACTGTGCGTCGCTGGCAAACATCTTCCAGGAGCAGGTACATGCACGCGCACACACACACTCACACACACACACACACACACACACACACACACACACACACACACACTAAGCAGGAAAAGGTAAATTTACTTTTTCCTCTGCTTTTCCACCTTACAACACGTTGAGCCAATATTTGTCTTGTGTCAGCGCTCAGATCTCAGGCGCTCAGTCGAGTCGTGTGTGATCAGATATTTATTCACCTCGTGACGTCAGATGAATCAGTTGCAGCACGACGATCAAAATCCTCTTTATTCTTTGATGGTTACAGCTCATTTTTTCCTGCTTCATTTAAAAAAAATAAATGTCAGAATTCTGGAAAACTTGTCAGGCGGTATTTTGATTTTTAAACTGGATTTTAACCACAACATATTTCTTTTATTGTTGGTTTTTCTTACTTATTTAAAGGCTTATCTCCCTTTGTTACGTAGGTTCCTGTAAATAGAATCTTTTTCTCTTAAAACAATCTGTGAATTTAGTTTTAAAAGTGTAAAAATGCAATTAAAGAAAGTTGGATTTGTTATCTCCTGTGCAGGACATCGACGGTCAGGCGCTGCTGCTGCTGACTCTGCCCACAGTCCAGGAGTGTATGGACCTGAAGCTCGGCCCCGCCATCAAACTGTGTCACCAGATTGAGCGCGTCAAAGTCGCCTTCTACAGACAGTACGCCAACTGAGCGCCACTGAACGTCTGCTGCTCAGCTGAGAGGAGACAAGTTGTGTTTGTGCACGACGTGGACAAATGTGTGTTGGATTAGCTTCCCTCCTCCTGGTGGAAAACTTGTGGAGTTTGTGCGGATTTCCAACTTTGCAAGAAGAAGGATTTTTTTTTTTTTTGTTTTTGGGAACGTGAATTTGCTGGAGGACGTTTTCTGACGAGGAGCTGAAGGATTCATTTCTTGGGCGCTGTCGGTGTGAGAATGTGACGCAGAACCCACATAAACTTCAAACCAAACACATGGGAATGGATCCGTGTGCTTTCCTGATCTGTGAAGAAGTCATTTTGAGAAGCTGCAGACTCTGTTTCTGAAGACTTTTATGTTTATTTCTTACTTTTCATTCCCATTTTATTTGTGATAGAGGAGCATTATAGCATTTAAGTTAAAATAATAATGAATCATAAAGACTTTTCCCCTTTTTGTGTGACACAATTGGTTTAAAAAAAATATATATTTGAAAAGTATTTAACAACCCAAGAAGTAATATATTTGGAATATTTATTGTAATCCTTATTTATAAGGAGGAATCTGTCTATTTGGATGCAGAGAAAATAATGATAATGATATACATGTTATTTCACAAACACAAGCCACTATCTGTGTTTGTTTAGATTCACATCTCAGTTTCTGTTTGTAGAAGAAAAAAAATAGAAAAGAAAGATGTCCCATGTCACCACCCTCCAAAATAATCCAAACCCAGTGCTTCTTCTCACTGTTACAATCACATGAAACAATCATGAAAGCTATTTTGTGTCCATCTATGCAAAGGTGTCGCAGATATTTTTGATAAGTAAGAAAATAAATTTCTATTGATTTTTATCTCTTTTTGTCTTTTCTTCCTCCTTTTACCACTAATTGTTTGTACCTGCAGGAAAATGTAATTGTGTGCATTTCACATTACTGTTTGTGACTCAAAGGCCACTTACTTGCATTTCTTGTATGAAGTCGCTGCAAAAGTGACTCACAGGATGACGCACTGAGCCTCATTATTAGCTATGAGGTATAAATTATAAAAGCATTAGAACAAGAACATTTGACAAAACATTCAGGATTTCAAATGTAATGTAATTTATCATGATTCAAGTTTATGTAAATGTTCAAATTTCTTCTAATTAATTAACATTTTATCATGTTTTGCAGCCTCTTAGTCAATTATATATATTGGGCCTTTTAGCAACAGTACAAACACATTTATCTATTTTATGAATATTTATTATTTTTGAAGTATCACTACATTGAACAGAATTACCCCAAAGAAACTAAAGATACATCTTCAGCTACACATTTATATATATATATATATATATGTATATATTTAAAGCCACAGCTGTGTGGAGGGGGAAGGGTTGACGGTGCTGCATGGTGAGATATAGGAAGTCAGGCCTCACTGTGGTTAACAGAACAAACGCAGAGCGATGCACAGAGTCACAGCTTAAAGAGAAACCACACACCTTCCTGCTGCTCTGTTGAAACAATCAAACACAACCTTCCTTCATTTAGACGTTACAGTTGAATTATTAACTGTTCCGAACAGAGTGTTAATACAGTAAAGTGACAACCAAGTCATTTAATTAACTGTTATGGCTTTGGAATTACTTAAAATAAAAATGGATGGAAAATGGATAGAAACAGAAAACTGTGCTTTCAATCTGTATTAATATGCATTCTTAATGTTTTAAATGTATTTATTTTTTAAATTTGATTAATATTGTTATTTTACAGGGAAGGAGTAGTGCAGTATCAGTGATTCTCAGGGGGATGAATACATATATGCACACACACACACAAACACACATACGTACAGTATGTCTACAGTATGTCAGCTGTAACAAATGAACACTACAACCAAACCACCTTAAGAGGTCCAAGGTCATAAGTTTGCACATGGACGGTAAGGAAATGTCCCTACCGATATCTTGGGAGGACAGAATTCTCCCTACCAACATTTAAGTGAACTCGTTTGCTCTGTGTTTGAAGAGAAGTCATAACAGATCTTTCCAATGTGCCCTCCCAATGGCTACGTCTCCAAGACAACCGATTTAGGCATGCTAGCAAGTGATTGATGCAAGGGCGATGGCTATCTAAGGGCTCACGTCATGTGAGAATATCGTACTGGTACGTAACATCAGCCTTTCCACTGTTGAAAAATTACAAATGATGTTATTTAACCATGTTTGCTAGTGTTAACTAACAAGCGAACCCTGGCTTCTGTCTTCTGTAGGCAACCAGTCAGGCTGCTAGCAGGAGCCTTTTTATACCTTACTGTACTGTGACTTTTTATGCCTTACAATAATATGGTGTTTTCATACCTTGATATATGATGATGATTTTATGACTTTTTATGCATTACTATACTATGACCTTTTTATGACTTTTTATACCTTACTGTATACTAAGGCGTTTTTTTGCCTTACTATAGTATGTAGTTTTTATGCCTTACGATACTATGTCGTTTTTTTGACTTTTTATGCCTCACTATAATATGTCGTTAATGTGACTTTATAGGCCTTACTACACTATGCCGATTTTATGCCTTACTATACTGTGTCGTTTTTATGACTTTTTATACCTCACTATACTGTCGATTTTATGCCTTACTATACTATGTTGTTTTTTTTTAATTTTACGCCATACTATACTATGGCGTTTTTTGGAGTTTTTAAGCCAATCTATACTATGACTTTTTTATGTCTTACTATAATATGGCCTCTGTATGCCTTGCTATACTATATTGTTTTTATGACTTTTTATACCTTACTTTACTATGTCGTTTTTTGAGTTTTTAAGACTTACTATGCCTTGACTTTTTTATGACTTTTTGTGCCGTACTATCCTATGTCGTTTTTATACCTTACTATACTATGATGTTTTTAGGACTTTTTCTGCCTTACTATACCATGTCGTTTTTTAGAATTTTTAGACCATTCTATAATATGTCGTGCTTTTGAGTTTTTAAGCCTTACTACGCTATGAATATTTTATGACTTTTTATGCCTTACTAAAATATGTTGTTAATATGACTTTTTATGCCTTACTATACTATGTTGTTTTTTAAGTTTTTGAGACTTACTATACTATGACTTTTTTATGACTTTTTAGGCCTTACTATACTATGTAGTTTTTTTTGAGTATTTAAGCCTTACTATACTATAGCATCTGTATGCCTTACTATAATATGTCGTTAATATGACTTTTTATGCCTTACTATACTATGACTTTTTTATGCCTTACTATACTACGTCGTTTTTATACCTTACTATGCTACATCATTTTTATGCCTTACTATACTATGTTTGTATAACTTACTATATTATATTGTTTTTTATAACTTTTTATGCCATACTATACAATGTCGTTTTTATGCCTTAATATATTATGTCGTTTTTATGACTTTTTATGCCTTACTATACTATGTCGTTTTTATGCCTTGCTATACTATTTTGTTTTTATGCCTTACTATACTATGACTTTTTTAGGACTTTTTGTGCCTTACTATATGATGTCCTTTTTATGCCTTACTATACTATGTCATTTTTGGAATTCTTATGCCTTACTATACTATTACTTTTTATGACTTTTTATGCCTTACTATACTATGCCGATTTTTGGAATTTTTATGCCATACTATACTATGGAGTTTTTTTTAGTTTTCATGCCTTAGTATACTATGATGTTTTTATGACTTTTTATGCCTTACTATACTATGTTGTTTTTATGACTTTTTGTGCCTTACTATACTATGTAATTTTTATCCCTTACTATACTATGACTTTTTTATGACTTTTTATGCCATACTATACTGTGTCGTTTTGTTGAATTTTTATGCCTTACTATACTATGTCGTTTTTTTTAGTTTTTAAGCCTTACTATACTATGACTTTTTTATGACTTTTTATGCCTTACTATACTATGTCCTTTTTATGCCTTACTATACTATGTCATTTTTTGGAATTCTTATGCCTTACTATACTATAACTTTTTATGACTTTTTATGGCTTACTATACTATGTAGATTTTTGGAATTTTTATGCCTTACTATACTATATCCTTTTTTTGAGTTTTTAAGCCTTACTATACTACGAAATTTTTATGACTTTTTGTGCCTTACTGTACTATGTTGTTTATATGACTTTTTGTGCCTTACTATACTATGTAATTTTTATCCCTTACTATATTATGACTTTTTTATGACTTTTTATGCCATACTATACTGTGTCGTTTTGTTGAATTTTCATGACATACTATACTATGTCGTTTTTTTGAGTTTTTAAGCCTTACTATACTATGACTTTTTTATGACTTTTTATGCCTTACTATACTATGTCCTTTTTATGCCTTACTATACTATGTCATTTTTTGGAATTCTTATGCCTTACTATACTATAACTTTTTATGACTTTTTATGGCTTACTATACTATGTAGATTTTTGGAATTTTTATGCCTTACTATACTATATCCTTTTTTTGAGTTTTTAAGCCTTACTATACTACGAAATTTTTATGACTTTTTGTGCCTTACTGTACTATGTTGTTTATATGACTTTTTGTGCCTTACTATACTATGTAATTTTTATCCCTTACTATATTATGACTTTTTTATGACTTTTTATGCCATACTATACTGTGTCGTTTTGTTGAATTTTCATGACATACTATACTATGTCGTTTTTTTGAGTTTTTATGCCATACTATACTATGTCGTTTTTATGCCTTACTATACTGTGTCATTTTGTTGAATTTTTATGACATACTATACTATGTCGTTTTTTTGAGTTTTTATGGCATACTATACTATGTCGTTTTTATGCCTTACTTTACTATGACTTTTTTATGACTTTTTATACCTTAATGTACCACGTCGTTTTTATGCCTTATTATACTGTCCTTTTTATGCCTTACTATACTGTGTCGTTTTGTTGAATTTTTATGCCATACTATACTATGTACTTTTTTTGAGTTTTTATGCCATACTATACTACGACATTTTTATGACTTTTTGTGCCTTACTGTTCTATGTTGTTTATATGACTTTTTGTGCCTTACTATACTATGTCCTTTTTATGCCTTAATAAACTATGACTTTTTTATGACTTTTTATGCCTTACTATGTCGTTTCGTTGAATTTTTATGCCATACTATACTATGTCGTTTTTTTTTAGTTTTTATGCCATACTATACTATGTAGTTTTTATGCCTTACTATACTATGACTTTTTTTATGACTTTTTGTGCCTAACTATACTATGTTGTTTTCATGCCTTACTATACTATGTCGTTTTTTGGAATTTTTATGCCATATTGTACTATGTTGTTAATAAAACTTTTTATGCCTTACTATACTATGTCCTTTTTATGCCTTACTATACCACGTTGTTTATATGCCTTGCTATACTATGTCGTTTTGATGACTTTTTATGCCTTACTATACTATGATTTTTTTATGTTTATACTATATTATGTCGTTTTTTGGAATTTTTATACTATGTTGTTAATAAAGCCTTTTATGCCTAACTATACTATGTCGTTTATATGCCTTAGTATACTCTGATGTTTTTATGACTTTTTATGCCTTACTATACTATGTCATTTATATGCCTCATTATACTGTGTCGTTTTGTTGAATTTTTATTCCATACTATACTATGTCCTTTTTTTGAGTTTTTATGCCATACTATACTATGACATTTTTATGAGTTTTTATGCCTTACTATACTATGACATTTTTATGACTTTTTATGCCTTACTATACTATGACTTTTTCATGACTTTTTATGCCTTACTATACTATGACATTTTTATGAGTTTTTATGCCTTACTATA